GGCTGTGGGAAGAGAGACACAAAAAGAGACTGGGGAAGACATACATAGGGATTTGGGGGTCAAAAACCCACAGAGAGGCTGGGGGGACAAAGTGACACACAGAGGGGCTGGGGGAGCAAAGAGACACACAAGGGGGCTTGGGGGACAAAGACACACAGATGGCCCATTTTTGTTTTGTCTATTTTACATTTTGGGGGGAAGGCAAGTAGCTGGTGTTGTCTAGGGTGAAAATAGTCTGGCTGTATGTAGAAACTGTGCTTGCATGTGTTGTGTGATTGCTGTATATACTGTGTGTAGTGTGCTGGTTATGTTTAGTATGTGTGTTGGCTGTGTGTTTTGTGTCTGTGTATAATGGTGACCTATGTTGTGAGCTCCTCCTGATTACAATTCTGCAGTCCTGTAGCAGGGTGTTATGATGCATGGTGGTCCAGCAGGGCTAATAAAATTCATGTTGGTACATGTGGTCCATGCCAGGTGAAAGGTGACCTCTGCCTTGTGGTCCAGTGGGCAAGTTTGTTGTTTGCACATCAGATGGGTGCATAACTAGGTAATTGGGCATTGGTTGCATTGGCAATTGGTAATCCAGCTCTGAAAGTAGAAAACATTGTTTTGCCAAATCTGATTGAAAATAAAACTATTTCTCATGTTGGCTTTGTGTGGCTAGGTCTGCCTATAGAGAAACAAAAATGATTTAACTATTAAATGGCAGAGAAGGTTATTTTGGTTTCCATTTAAGATGCCAGGTCTGTGATACAGAATGTTATCTCACAATTAAGTGCATTGCAATGTGAAATAAACTAATTTAAAACAATCCTTCTCTTACTAGAAGCCAGAACTAGGAAAGCAAAAGTCAATTGTATGCAATAATGTTGGCCACCAAGAGGCAACGTCACACTGTCCTGCAAAAACATAGTAATATATGAAATTGAAAGCTCCCCCCACAAAAGCATTGCCTAATAATGCACATGATCATCACACTTTACAATAGAAACATATGACTCATTTAGTGATACCTGTCTACCACTGAGTGATCCAAGTGGTTTTACACAGTCTCCTGCTCCACATGAAGACCTATGTGAATCAGAGAAGTATAAGAAAAAAAGGTGCTCATTTTGTAGGGAATTAATGCATTAATGCATCACTAATTGACACTCTTCTGAATGTGTTTGTATTTTGTAAAACACAATGTTTCCAAAATTGAACTTATCTTTCTTTCGTATCTTTCCTTCTAATACTTCCCATCATTTGTTGCTTTCCATGGTTAATAGAACCTCTCTTACCTCAACCCCCAAGCTTCCCATGTTTGCTGCCTTGGTGTCACTTTCAATTTTAGTGTCACTTTTTTCCCAACATGTTAATGCCGTTGCAAAAGCTGATAAGGTGCTTTAATGTATAAAATGGGGTTCTGATTGAAAGAAAGGTTTTTTTTTTACAGTAAGAACAATAAAGATGTGGAATTCTCCTTCAAAAGAGGTTGTGTTATCAGGTTCGATAGAAAATTTTAATAAAGGCCTTTTATCATAAACAGGATATTTAATGATATAATTGATAAGTATGTAAATAGGTCTTTGATCTGATTTCCATTATGGAGTCAAGAATGATTTTATTCCCTATTGTGGGATAATTGGGAATGACTACAATTCTTTTTTTGTTTGTTTTGGGTTTTTTTGTGCCTTTTTTTTTTTTGGATCAACAACAAAAAAGAATGGGTTTAGATTTAAACAAGATGGATTTAGACCCCAGAAAGGCAGTCAGATCAGTCAGTCAGTTGGATCAAGAGGCTATTACCCAACCATTTAAAAATTGTATACCCCGAAATGTTATGGTTTTGCCTATATTTATCCAGTTATTGTTTAAACATATGTATAGACTCTGTTAAAACCACTTTTTCTGGTACAGAATTCCACATCCTTATTATTCCGACTGAAAAAAAATCTTTCCTTTGCCTTATACTACATCTCCTTTCTTCCAGGCTAAATGCGTGATTTATGTATAGTCCTTTTTATGAATATATTGCTAGTCAATGGTTTGTATTCACCCCAAATGTATTTTTATAATGCTATCATATCCCCTCTGAGGCGATGTCAAACTAAAGATATTTAAATTTTTTAACCTTTCTTCGTAACTAAAATGCTGCATTCCTTTTATTAATTTTGAATTCATCCTCTGCACTTTTTCTAGTGCCATTATATCATTTTCGTTAGAGCAGGTGCCAAAAATTGCACAGCGTATTCCATGTCTGGTCCTGCAAGTAATTAATAAAGAGGCAAAATTATATTTTCATTCTGACAATCCGTGATCCTATTTATGCATGAAATATATTTATTATTGTGGGTTTTTCTTTTTTATGCCATTTTGTGCATTTGAGCATGTAACCCTTCTACATCCTAAAAGAGAAAAATGGGGGTTCTACTTGGCACTTTATTATTTTTACCTATTCACACTATTTCCTAAATTAGAAAGTAATAACTATATATGAGTAACTTTGCTCATATTTGTCTGCTTATTATTTGTCTATGCTGTTTACTCAAAGCCTACCCTTGTAACCTATACTTTTATATTGTGTATTCTCTACTCTTTGTCAATAGAAAGCATTAAAAATGCTCTAATTAAACCTTAAGTGTTCCTTTAACATTCAAACATCCTGCTGCCTATTAAAATATGCAACACTTTAAAGTTAATTACAAATTCACATGCAATTTCTTTCTTTAGCCATCCATCCTACTCTCAAGACTTAACCTCAACACGTACCCATGATATCAAAACAAATGTGATGGACATTACCACCCAAGAGTTTTGTCTACAGAACCCCATTACATAATATTAGTTTATGTTCAACCATAACCATTTCTTTGTGTAACCATTTACTATGTTTTAGTGATTTTCATCTCTTGTGGCTTCTGCATCTGCTGGTGTTTACATTGTGAGTAAGTGTGGTTATTGTAAATTTGGTATTGGTATCCGATGTTTGCATAATAAGATTATTGAAGATTATCCCTTCCTCTAAATTAATTATTTAGTTGTTGATTTGGTTGTTCTCAGTTTCTCTGTTTAGATGAACAAACTGCAATAGTGAATGGATCTATGCTTTTTAAAGTAGGTATCCTCCATATGATATTATTGACAATTATTTTTTGCCTTCATTTTATTTCCATATAGTTAGTAAACTTTATTTTTAAAAGCACCCAAGCACTAATGATGAATTTTCTCACTATCTCTCTTAGAAATGTGAGCCTAGAAATTACATTAAAAAAAACCCAAAGGATACATCTATTTTGTAGTGCATACACAGCCGATTCCTGTTTATAGACTGCATTTGTCTTTGTGACATAGACTTACTAGTACCATATTATTTTCAATTTTCATTAATAACAATAATGCTGAAATTATGTAATATATTTTCTGTATCTTTAACAGAACACATTGTGTGTTATTTGGAATCCACTGGGCACCGCCCTACACAATATTACATACACTGGATACACTGTATTACTTACACTGGTACACTGGGAACCGCAACCGGCCTCTCAGAGTATTTGAAACTCTCTGCATGAACTAAGCACTCTTGCACAGGACTTGTCTCATTGAGTGATCACCTGGAACATTGCAGGGCTTAGCTCAGAAAAACAGGAGTTTCTGACTCTCCAGAGAGGAAGAGGAAAGGCTGGGAGCAACGCAGGAACAATTCAAATGTATTAAAAAAGTTTGTCTACTTACACTGGTTGGGTATCAGGTCACATTTGGCATCAGAGGCAGCTCTAGACTTTATGAGACCTTAGGCGAAACTCAGACATGAGACCCCAATAACACCAAAGTGAAAAAAATAGAGTTGCAATACATGCACACTGTCACATATACACATTGATACACTGTTTACCTGTGTATGTGCCTGAGAGTGTGTCTGACAGAGAGTATCGCTATGTGTTTGAATGTATGTATCTGTGAGCATGTTTGCGTTTTTGTCTGGGTCCGTATATGTACGGGGTAGCTGCTTGAAATGTGTTGTGTGTATGGGGTCTGCCTGTGGCCTTTGTGCATTGTGTTTATGGCAAAGCTATGTTTCCTGACTGTGTGTGTATGATGAATGTCTTCAGCTGGTGACTGTGACAAGGTGAGTAAAGGGGTACCAGTGGCAGGGAGAGTGTGACAGAGCGAAGGGGGTAAATTGACAGGGTGGGGGGGTTGTGAGAGAGAAGGAGGGAGAGGGAGTATGACATGGTTTGATGAGGGAGTGTGACAGGGAGAGTGGAGGTAAGTGTGTCAGGGCAATTGTGGCATGGTAGGAGGGATGCGTGTGACAGGATTAAGGGGGATTAATGTGACAGGGTGAGTTTGGCAGATTGAGGGCAGGTGAGTTTGGAGAGATTAACAGGATTAGGAGTGGTTAATGTGAGTGCATGAGGCTGGCCGTGTGGGGGGTGACAATGTGTGGAGAGGTGACAGTGTGAGGGGATGCTAACAGCTGTGTGTGTGATGGGGGTGATACTGTGTGTGTTTGTGGGGGTGATGGTGATGGTGAGAGAGAGGGGGTTGATGGTGAGAGGGAGGGTGTGCAGGGCCGTCTTTAACGCGGGGCAAACGGGGCAGCTGCCCTGGGCCCAGTTGCTCCTGGGGGCCCAGAGCAGCTGCTCTGTGGGCCCCGCGATTTGCGCAGCCCCTGTGGTGCGGCTCCCGCACACTGAGGAGGCTCCCCTGGTGGCCCATGCACTAAGGGCCACCCGGGGAGCATGTGTCAGCAGGGGCCCGGTCGGGCGCTGTGGCGCTTAAACAGCGCGACCGGGCCCCTCTTCCGGTTCTGCTGCCGGCTGGGAGGGAGTGACGTCACTTCCTCCCACCGGAGATAATGGCCGCGCGGGAGGAGGAAGGCAGGGAGGAGGGGAGTTCAAGAGGAGAACTCCCATCTGCCTCAGCCTGCCACTGGACCTGGGAAACCACCCTCCAGGAAAAGGTAAGAACCTGGAGGGTGGAAAAATGTATGTCAGTAGTTCTGTGTGTGTATGTCTGTGTGTATGCCAGTATGTCTGTGTGTGTGTCAGTATGTCTGTGTGTATGCCAGTATGTCTGTGTGTGTGTGTGTGTGTGTCAGTATGTCTGTGTGTGTATGCCAGTATGTCTGTGTGTGTGTGTATGCGAGTATGTCTGTGTGTGTATGTCCGTGTGTGTGTGTGTCAGTATGTCTGCGTGTATGCCAGTATGTCTGCGTGTATGCCAGTATGTCTGTGTGTGTGTGTACGTGTGTGTCAGTATGTCTGCCAGGATATATTTGTGTGTCAGTGTATGTGTGTGTCAGTATGTATCTGTGAATGTTTTAATGTCTGTCTGTGTGTATGTGCCAGTCTGTCTGTGTGTATGTCAGTATGTCTGTGTGTGTGTGTCAGCATGTCTTTGTGTGTCTGTATGTCTGTGTGTATATGTAAGTATGTCTGTGTGTGTATGTGTGTGTCAGTCAGTATGTCTGTCAGTGTATGTGTCTGTGTGTGTATGTATGTATATCTATGTGTGTGTCAGTATGTCTGCCAGGATATATTTGTATGTCAGTGTATGTGTGTGTCAGTATATATCTGTGAATGTTTAATGTCTGTCTGTATCAGCCATTACGTCTGTCTGTGTATATGTCAGTATGCCTGTGTGTGTATGTGTGTGTGTATATGTCAGTATGCCTGTGTGTGTGTGTCAATGTGTCTGTCAGTGTATGTGTCTGTGTGTTTTAGTATATCTGTCAGTGTATGTGTTTGTGTGTGTGTCAGTATATCTGTTAATGTATGTGTCTGTGTATGTATGTATGTCTGTGTGTGTGTCAGTATGTCTGCCAGTATATATTTGTGTGTAGTGACTTTGTGCGTCAGTATGTATCTGTGAATGTTTTAATGTCTGTCTGTGTGTGTATGTGCCAGTACGTCTGTCAGTGTGATTGCGGGTTGGACGTAATTGGGGGGTGAGGCAGTGGCAGGGACAGGGCCCATGGGGCCCAAGAAAATGCATTGCCCAGGGTCCTAATAATATTATAGACGGCCCTGAGGGTGTGATCCAGTGTGGGCTCCTTGGTGGTCCGGTGGGCATAATGTCCGGTCTGCTGCTCCGCAGCCGCATCACGTGCGTGCTGACGTCGATCTCTACGCCCACTGGTGTCAGCCGCATCCCTCATGCGAGCTGACGCCAGTTGCCCG